TGAGACATCATATCAGAAGAGAGATTAGAATTCTTTTGAACAAAGCAGGGTCACTCTTAAGTAAATGACACTAAGAGTCAGCACTTTTTTAAAATTCTGCTGCTGAATAGACAATAGAATCCCTAGTTTAAAATTGTTATTACAGTTGATGTGAAGTGAAAAGATGGAAAATTGGGAAAAGGGCTCCAGATGGGATGTCTATACAGAAGGAGAATGCAGGGCAAGGAGCAAATAACACCAAGGTTGTTTGATAAGATCTCTAGGAATCATTTTACATGTACTTAAAACTATACACAATACATATAAATGTACACTGAGAGAGAGAGAGAATGAGAAGAGAGAGATCTCCAGAGTCTGTCATTTCATCCAGGGCAGGGCCTAGGCCCTTCCCCATGTGTCCAGGCTGAGAGAGGATCCCTCCATGTGGAATGGGCTCCCAATGTTCATTTGTATGCCATGGTGAACACTAATCTACTATCCAAGGCCCCAGAGATTTCTGAGGCCTCCTCACTGACACTACACTCATGGAGTCTAGATCAGTCACCGCTGGCCTCTCAGCCATCAGTCTGGGGTTCAAGAGCTCCCCCCTGCCAAGTCAGCTGTCTTTGTGGGTTTCACCAGCACAGTCTTGACGCCTTTGCCCATCACTTCTCCATCTCTGTCACTGGGTTCCAGGAGTTCAGTTCAGTGTTTAGCTGTGGGTGTCTGCCTCTGCTTCCATCAGTGACTAGATGAAGGTTCTCACAAGGAGGGTCTCACCCTCCCTAGGGAGTGATGTGGGGATTGGGTGGGGGGCCTGGGGAGGGCTGGTGGAGGGACAAGGGAGGAGGGGTAGGAGTGGGAGCTGAGATTGACATGTGAAGCATGAATGCATGTTTCTAAGACATCATTTATTTTAATAAAAATTATAAAAAGAAGTGTAGGGATAGTCCCAACACAGCTACTACTAAAGCAGTTCAATTTGATTAACTAACTTATAAACACTTGTAGAAAACACTGGGTAACTTTTAGTGAATAATAAATTTATATTTTAAAACCTAAATAAAATGTGTGAATGTTTGAACATACGCTTATAGGCTAAGAGTTGTATACATTAATATTTAATCATACAATGATGCTGATGTAGATAACATTTTCCTCATTTTATGTATAAGTAAACTTAATGTAGAAGTTTTTAAGGACGATATAGTGGGTCAAGCAACTACGGCATAGTAAACTTGGTTCACAAATTCGAGTGAATCTATGTTTAGGGCCTGGGAAACTGTGTAGCACTTTCAGGGTTATCTAATAGGCATTCACCTCATCCCTTCCACTGTGGCAACCCCTTGCTCTTTGAACAGTATTTTTGTCAATAGATTCTCTAAAGTGAAGAATTATGGACAATTTCAAATTAAAGAAAGAACTAAAAAAACAGAGAGAACTCAAAATACTAAGAATCAAAAACAAAACAAAAAACAAATGATCCATTCAAAAAATGGGGCTGCAACCTGAACAGAAGGTTTTCAAAAGACAGGTGAAATGCTAGGAAATACTTTTTAAAAAAATGTTCATAGTCCCTAGCAACTAGGGAAATTCAAATCATATTATCCCAATAGGAATGGCAAAAATCACCAAAACAACCAACAGCAAATGCTGGAGGTGATATGGATTAAAGGGAACCCCCTTTCCTGTTGGTAGGATGACAAACTGGTGCAGCCACTCTGGAAATCAGCGTGGAAAACTCTCAAAAGGCTAAAAATAAACCCGCCATAAGACCCAGCTATACTACACCTTAGCATATGCCCAATGGACTTGCCATACTTCACAGATACTTGACCAGCCACATGCATGGCTGTTCTATTCACAACAGCTAGAAAATAGACACAACCTAAATGTCCTTTAAGTGACACATGGATAAGGAAATGTGGTACATATACACTATAGAATATTATTCAGCTGTACGAAAAAAATGACATTTCAAAATTTGGGTGGAACTAGGAAAGATCATATTGAGTAAGGTGAGCCAGACTCAGAAAGACAGATGCTGCATGTTCTCTCTAATCTGAGAGTCCTAGCTGCAGATCTTCAGATGTGTGTACATTTTCTGGAGGAACTACAGAAACCAGGAAAGTAAAAGGGGACCATCAATGCATTGGGGGAGGGTCTGGAGGAGCCATAGAGAGGAGAAAAGCTCAGCACAAGTGATCTAAAGGGGAAATGTGAACATTATGGAGGGGGTAGGAGATAAATACAGCAGGAGGGGGTAAAGTAACAATAAATATGTCTGAAAAGGTCATAAGGATCACACTATTATCTACCTAAAATAACATACATACATACATACATACATACATACATACATACATACATACTGAACAATTTCCATCTGGACTGGCAATGCTCCCTCCAAGAGCTAAAGATCATTCAACAAAATCTCCAACACCAAGGATGTGAAGCTCTCTTTTGAGTTGTTGGTCAAGGCTGTCCAAGAGACTCCTAAAACTTCACAGGCTACTGTTATTTCCATTGGTTGTGCCCCAGTGCAGAAGGAACCATATTCTTCAGACACTGAGCCTAGAGGTCTCTGAGCTTAAACTAACCAGAAAATCTCCTCTCTGAAGGTTAACTTTCATGGTACTAGTGGGTACCATGAAAAGTTTCCAAGGAAGGGAAACAACCAATAGACCTACCCAACTGTAATGCCTATTAACCAAAACAATGACTACCAAGGCAGCAAGATAACCCTAAGGATGTGATAGCAGTATTCTTGGCAATAGCCAATAACTCTCTAGTTAGCCTGTTCAACAAGAGAGAAATTATGCCTGGTACTAGAAATCCAGACAACTACTCAGGGCTAGTGAAATCATGGATCTTAGAGGAAAGCCTATAACCATCACTTTACTAAATCAGCATAAACTTTAACTGCATCCTAAATATTTGTTCTTATACATACTGATAAGTGTAGTCTCCACCCCAATTAAGGAAACATGTCTCTGCAACAGAGACCAGTACCAAAAACCACAACCAACAGATACATCTACAACACAACTCCTATACTTACAGCCCAGGGATTTTTATGGAGAGGAGCCAGAAAAACTTAAAAGCAAGGATAACAGAGCTTGCTATGGGATTGTGTCTTCTACAAGTGTCAGAAGCTACACTAATAAGTCTCACCAACATGACTACCTAAACATGAGCTTAACAAGGATGATACCAGTAAACATGTTAACATGTAAGGGGGGAAACTCAGAAGAACTTATCCCTACACACACACACACACGCACACACACAACACACATCCCTCCCTCTACAATCAACTAAGGAATTCTGAGAATAGGAAGAAAACACCAACTGGTCATCCAATTATCAAATGGTCAGTTCTGAAAACATATATATATAAGCAACATTATACAGACTGAGCAAGTTGTATTTAAGTTTTTAGGAATAAATATATGTATGCAACAACAATTAATGGAATAAGTATCCACGTATTTTAAAGAGAGCATAGAGGTTTATATGGAAGGGTTTGGAGGGATGAAAGGGAAGAAGAAAAATTATGTAATTATAATCTCAAAAATAAAATAATTTGAAATTATATATAATGTAATACAAAATTTACATTGAAAAATAATGACCTGAGGAAAATAATTACATTTTAGTTTACTCTAAAAGATATTTCTAGTAGATAAGTCCAGCCACCTCATGAGGAATTAAAATGCTCATTATCAGCCATAGTCTTAGATTTCCATGTAAATGAGAATATTTTATGCTCTTATGGGCTGGGATGTATTTCCTTAAAATACCTTTCTGGACCATTGAACAGATATGGAAAGTTTTGGAATACTCTTATAGACCATCTATATCCACTGTTACAATTATTTTTAGAACAATTTCAGGGGTAATTTAGAATCAAAGAAATAATCTATTCTTGTATATAAAATCAAATTTTGAGAGACTGACATTTCTATATCTCTGCAAACCATAACATCACAATAGTGTATTATGCTTAAAACCATCATCAGAATGGATTCTGAAAGCACTTTTCAACTACACCAAATATAACCACTTGTAACAATTATGATGTTATGAAAATTACATAAACTTCTAAGCATTTCATATTCTTCAGTTGTAAAATGAGGATAATAACACCTATAAGCTATTCATAAGAACCCTGCACATGATAAAGCAGCACGGGTATAACATCCACAACCTTTCTGGAAGGCCATCCTGTAAGTTCTCAACTTGACAGAAGCTATGATCACCAGATAGATGGTCTCTGGGACCCATAGGGGATTGTGCTGATTAGGTTAATTGATGTAGAAGTTCCATCTTAATTGTGGGTGGGGCTACCATTCCCTGAGGAGCAGTAAGTGGAGAAATGATGAGCATGCATATATTCCTTGTTCTCTGTTCCTGATTGCATACTTGATGTGATCAGATCCTTCAGGTTCCTGCTGCATATTGTCCAGTATGATAGATAATAATATGGAGCTGTGAGTAAAAATAAACCCTTTCCCCCCTTAAAAAGTAGAAGAAAACACTGTATTTTTCAAAAGCAATACACACACCATTTAATTCAGTTTAACATTTCAATTATGACATATTTTGAGTGAGGTATATAAGTTATATTTTTGCATTATTAAATACCCAAGTGGATATTTTTAATACTAAAGGATTATGAATAGCTCCAAACAGAGAGCTAAATTCTAAATATTCGGTTATAGTAAATCCTCTTCTCTTCCAGATGGAGATATGAAGCATTTTCTGAAAGATGAGCTGACAATCTATCAAAATATATTTCTTCTATTCAAGAATTTCAATCATTTAATATTATAATGAAGTAAGTGGCAAAATACCAAGATTAACATCTTTTATATGATCAAGTAGGCTTAACAGGGCCCTTTGAAAACAAACTTTCTATAAGAGATTGTTATTAACTCAATTAAATTGGCAAATTTTAATTAATCAAGAGACGAAAAAAATCACAAAAGGTAAAGGAGATAAAACTAACTCATGACTCATCATTTTTAAAATGTCAAATTTATGTTAACAACAGAAATACATCTCTGACTGCAATTACAGTCATTCCACCATCATGCTAGGACAATGTTCGTAGAGAAATCATAATGATAACATGACTTTTGTCATCAAGACTGTAGGTAAGAATGTTTTGTTATAGTCTTTAATTGGAAGAAATGTAAAAGAAACAGTGACATTTTAAAATATCTTTATGGTTACATATCTTAATAAATGCTTATGAAATGTGTGTTTACCTCAGGCCTTTGCAGTCCTTGCAAACTAAAATGAGAAATGTTTTAACTCATGAAAATGCATTTCTAAAATAGTTTTAAAATATTTTCAAAGTGCTAAGGGAATAATACTCTTGTTGCTTGGAAACACTAAAATTCTGAATACTTCTTTAAATTACAAATTAATGTCTACTTTTTGCATTTTCACTGAATAGGTTCAACCAATTTAAAAATTACAAATATAGTACATAATGCATTTCAAAGTGGCAAATTATATATTGCCAAGGTACTATAAAAACTATTTTCCTCATGAAAACAGTATTGAATTTGAGTATTGAACAACAATATGCTAGTAGAAAACATGGTGAACAAATTTGAGAGGTACTTGTCATCAGAATTTATAGAAAAACAAATAATCCCATTATCATCTGACTCCTGTAAACACACTTGTAATCTGGATTCAGAAAATACCTTCTCATTGTATACAATGACTGCAGTAATTATTGTGAATAAAATTAGATCATGTGAGAAAAGGGTGACCAAAAAGAAGTGTCTAATTAGAAAAAAAAAAGGTAGAGTCATGGCATATACCAAGGACTACAGTAATGGGGGGAGGGTTTGGGCCACAACAGAACAGCATAAAGGAACAAGTATATGCTTAGGAGGAACAAAAGACATGCTCATAAACAAAGGTCACAGAATTCAGAACAGCAGAATGGGAGAGGTAGAAATAGTTCCTTTTTGATTTGAACCACAAATAATATTTACAAAGTGAATGCCATTTGTCATAGGTCAAGAAATTGATATCAGTTGAAGTTCACACTTTCTCATTAGGATTATGATGATCAAATATATTAGATATGAAATTTCTATATAAATCATAAAATTCTACATTCATGTTAAAAATGACAGTATTTCAAAATGCACAGAAAGCTTCTCATTCAAGAGAGGGTTAGGAATGAGGGCCCCAGGACAGAGAAATAAACATTTTCTTCTGGTTCATTCCCAAATTTTATTGAACTAGTAGATTCAGGCCAAGAGCTGGCTTTGATTCTGAACAGACACCAGTAAACACTGAACAAATGGAACTGTGACAAATGTCAAATAAGAACTCTGTAGAGAAAGTCCTCCTCAATCTGTGGAAGGAACCAATCCCCATGTATGCTTAATGCTCATAAACTTTTACTGGTTGCAAAACTACAAAATAAATATTTGCTAACTTTTGTTGCTAACTTCTGTTTAAGAGGGGAAATAGGGAGACAAGAAAACTAAAGATTCACAGAAGCCAAAACATGTATTTTTTCCTTCAGTAACAATCCCAAGCATGAAAAAATCAAAATGATTTCGAACAACGAGGATTTCTGTGACCATTGTAAAGCTAGGAAAGTAAGGCTTAGCAAGACTGAATGACTAATATAAGGCCACTTGTTCAAATGTAAGAGGCAATATTTTAGAATATGCTTGCAATATATCAAAACCCTGACTTTTTCAACACAAAAATAAAACTTCCTATAGAAAGACACCATAAGAAGACAAAATATCAAACAACCAAATAATATTCCCAATTTTTGCACTGAACTGATATTATGGATATTGTAGACATGAGGTAAGATCCATATTAAAAGTTAAAAACACCAGTTCATCTATCACTGATCATTTAATGTTCAAAGGGATCATAGCCCTTTTCATTACATTACAATTATATGTAACCATTATAAAATACTCTAAAAAATTACACGAAAGGAGTACAAAGAATGGAAATAACAGCTTAAAAGGAAATAGAAACAATCTAGAAAAAACACCTAGTTTTATAAATAATGAATTAAGGCTCAGCTAGGTTAAGGGACAGAACTCATCAGTTCCAGACTCGGGATGAGAATTTCAATCTCTCAATCTGTAGTCCACAGATGTGCTCCTTTGCAAAGCAGCAAGAAAGGACCCCAGGTAAGTAAGTGAGCACTCTGTCCAGAACATCCTCAGATTTGAGTGTAATCAAAGCGAGCCACACGTCAGGGCCCGGGCAGAGTCGGCTCATACCAAAAACGGGGTGCCAGCCACCGTGATAAGATCTGTTTCTTTCTGAGAACCCTGGCTTCCTGTTGGGTTGGAGAATCCAAACTGGGTTTCTTCCTCGTGCCCAAAGAAGTCCGACTCGGGATGCACGTTCCAATCGGCTTTGGCAGGGGTCAGTAGTTCCGAGACACTGTTTTCACAAAGGGTGCTGGAGGGAGTCAGAGCTTCGGTGTCCACAGTTAACTTATTGCTGGGTGTCAAAGCCTGGGGTTCCAGGCTGGCGTTTTTCGGAGCCAAGGAGCCAAAGAGGCCCACGTTCCCACCGGAGGCGTCGTCCATGTCCAAGGGGCTCTGCTGATAGCCAGCCACCGAGGTTCCGAAGAAGAGTGAGGTGTCCAGACTCTGGGGAAGGTCACTGGGGGCCCTGAGGGCCCGGGGTTCCACCGCCGGCCCTAAGGAATGGTTACTGCTGTCAGCAGGGAGACTGCCTGCGAGAGTCGAGTTCACAGAGGCCACGTCAATCGTCAAGATCCCAGAATTGACCAAGGCCGTGTCCAGCACCGCAGCAGAACTGTGGCCAGGGACATCGGAGAACAGGGACACTAGCTCTGCACCACTGAGGTCGTTCTGGCCCTGGCTGGTGAGCTCACTGCTGGGTGTAAGGGAGTTCGCAGCTTCCAGCTGGGCCAAGAGGTCCTGGCTGAGGTTGTGCCTTTTGGCCATGTGGGTCTTCATGCTGTGCTTGGATGTGAAGAGTTTGTTACAGGTGGAGACAGGGCAACGGTTTTTCCAGGTGCCCACGTCCTGCAAGTGCTTCTTGGAGTGGATGTAGAGACTGCTCCGGGCGGAGAACCTGGCACAGCAGCCTTCCACGGGGCACACGAAAGGCTTCGTGCCCAGGTGGGTTATGCTGTGGCCTTTCAGGTGCTCGGCCCTGGTAAAGGACTTCCCGCAGCCCTCTACGGGACAGGTGAACCTGCGGTCGTCGTCGTGCTTCCTCTTGTGTCGTAGGAGTTTGGACATGCTGGTGAAGTTCCAGCCACAGCCATCGAAGTCACAGAGGAAGGGTCTCTCTCCCGTGTGGCTCCGCAGGTGGATCTTGAGCCTGCAAGCCTTGTCGTACTGCTTGCTGCAGCCCGGGAAAGAGCAGGCAAAGAGTTCCTGTTCCCTGAAATGGGCGCGGTTATGAGAAAACAGGGCACTCACAGTAATGAACGTCTTCTTGCAGCCAGAGAACGCGCACTGGTAAGGCCTCTCGGGCTCGAAGTGGCTGCGCTGGTGGGTGCTGAGCTTGGCCTGCGTGGGGAAGCTCTCCTCACACACCTCGCACTTGAAGGAGTTCTCCTGCTCGTGCCCCTTCATGTGCGCCTTGAGGTTGTACACGGTGGTGAAGCTCTTGCCACAGCCCTCCACCGGGCAGCCAAATGGCCGCAGCTTGTCGTGCGACTGCAGGTGCCTCTTGAGCTTGTAGGACGTGGTGAAGGTCCAGCCGCAGCCGCTCAGGGGGCACTTGAAGGGCCGCTGGCCCTGGCTGCTGCTGTGTGTCAGCAGGTGCACCTTCAGCTGGTGCTTCTTGGCGAAGGTCTGCCCGCACTGCGCCTCCGGGCACAGGTACAGCACCACGCCCGGGCCCGGGACCAGAGGCCCGCCGCGGGGGCTCTGGGCGGCGGCCGGGGCCTCGGCCTCCTCCTCCGGAGGCGCCGGCGCGGGCGCGGGTTCCGCCGGCTCCGCCAGCAGGAGGTCCGGGGGCAGCTCGGGGCAGTCGCCCAGCTGCGCCGCGGCGGCGGGCGGAAACCCGGCCTGCGGGCCGCTCAGGGCCCCCGGCTGCGGCTGCGGCTGCGGGAAGGCGCGACCCCGGCGGCTCCCAGGCGGGCAGCGGGGGCGTGGTCAGGGTGAGGACGCCGTTCTCGAAGCGCAGCAGCAAGTCCTGGTTGTGGATAGTGATGGTGCCCGCGAAGGCCGCCGCGGGGCCCGGGCCGGCCGCCGGCAGCGGGGACGCAGCCGGGGCGGCCGGCAGGCAGCGGGGCCCGGCTCGGGCCGGCCCGCGGGGTTCGCGCCGCTCTCGCGCCGCTCGGGCCCCGGGCCGGCCTCGGCCTCCTCCCTCCACCCCGGCCCTCGGGCCTGCTCCGCGCCCACTGTTTCTACATCGCCACCCACCGGGTCAAGCAGCAACAGGAAGAAGTCGTCGCCGCCGCCGCCGCCGCCGCCGCCGCCGCCGCCGCCGCGGCTCGGGTGATCCGGCCTCGGCGCCAACCGGTTCGTGCTGGGGCTCGGGCCCAGGCCCCGTGAGGCCCTCTGGGCCTCTGCGCTCCGCGGCCCCGGCCCGCCATCTTGGGCCCCCCGGAGCAGTAGGAGGCGGCGCGTGGGGACCTGACAAGCCAGAGAGTCCGGGGCTCGGTGGACCCCGCCGCCGCCCGCGGGGCAGCAGCCGCCGCCGCCGCCGCCGCCGCCCTGTGGTGTCCCGCGAGCCGGGAGCAGCCTCGGGATTTCCATCTCGGCGCCGGTGAGGCTCGGCTGGAACCAGAGCCGAGGCGGAGGCGCGACCCCGCCCCCTGCCGCGGGCCCGAACACGTTCCTGAAAGGAAAAAAAAGTGCAATGCGCAGAAACTGGCCCTATCAGATATTAAAACGTATTTAACGCCACAGTGATTTAAATATTCTGGTACCGTGTCTCTGGGACGGAACAGGCGGCCCAGAGGCAGAGTCTGACGCCAAGAAACAACTTCCAGGCTTGGTGCCGCAAAGTAATAGAGGTCTTCCCAAGTGAGGGGAGAATGACAGCTGGTCCAGAACGCTGCCCAGGCACCTAGACACCTAGCCAATGAAAACAACGTGCATCCCCGCCTCACTGTGTGCAGCAAATAAACACATCGAGGCCTCTCCCGGGGCTGAGCATGTTCCCTGGCGCTTCTTTCTCTCTGTGTGTTGGAAGTTGGGCACTGCTGGCCAGAGAAAACTTCTGACGGGATGAACTCTACATGGCCCGCATTGAATACACTGCCTCCAAGCTACCATTTCTGGTCGCGATGCCCGCTACACACACAACACACACACACACACGCACGCACACGCACGCACGCAAGCACAGGCACCACACACACACAAACACAGGCCACAGAGAGTCACACAGAGTTTCACACACAGACGCACACACACGCACGCACGCACAGGCACCACACACACACAAACACAGGCCACAGAGAGTCACACAGAGTTTCACACACACAAACACAAACACACACACACAGGCACCACACACACACAAACACAGGCCACAGAGAGTCACACAGAGTTTCACACACACAAACACAAACACACACACACACACACACACACACACACACACATCCCTACCTTGAAATACTCACAACTGCTTACCATGAGCCAGGTCAAGTCCCGGGTAAAATTGTTTCACATTCTTAGGCTTTTGTCCTCCTGGTACAGGAGTCAAAAATAAGACATGGGGCCAAAACAGACCTGTACCCTTTGGCCTACAGGTGTGAAACCTGGCGATTGAGGCAATTGATAATGACATCTGAAAGTCCAGCCAGCTCCTCAGACCTCCCTGCCGAATGCTTCAGGCTGCACACCCTAAACAATGCACTTTAGACGGAGCTGTGTACTTGAAACCATACAGCGTGATTCCTTTCGTGCCTCCCTTCTTCTGCTTTGTCTGTTATGTCCAGACCATCCACGTTGCCTATGAGGGCCTCATAGCACAAATCCTCACCATTGCTGACTGCTAGCCTTCAGGCTTTTGCTTATAGCGTGGTCATGAGTAATGACATCCTACAGTAAATGAACAATGGGGTCCTTTCTAGTTCTTTTTTTTTTTTTACTATTATCCTGTGCATTTGGGTACCTGACTCATGGAAGACATATGAAAAGCCCCTCTGGAGCTGTCCTCCCAAAAATAGGATCCCTGACTGGTCTGTGACTTATGCATAGGTCCAGCTTTACCAAACAGTGACAACTTGGGCTACTGTAATTGGTGGGGTGTAGATATCTGAGATGGGATCTCAGTCCGTAGCTCAGGCTGGCCCATCGTGTTTTCTTCGGCAATCTTCAGTCGCACCAGCAACACGGAGCAATCCCGTCGCCCCGGGTACAGCAAACATCAAAAGAACTTTTCCATCTGGAGGTGGTCACACTCGGATTACTGGTAAGCTTCCGCACGCTCTCACACTTATGAATCTTGTGGCTAGTCTCTTCTGTGCAAGGCCCTGTGCAGACTGAACTCCTTTCAGCTGTGTAGGTCCCGTGTCCCATTTTGTGATGACTGATGTGGCTAGTTATAAATTTAAATGTCAGTCCCTGTGTGTGCACAGTGTTCTCTTCAGGGCCTTGTCCCTTGAGCTTGGACCTGCTGTGTGCTGTGTTGCGTGGACAGGAGAAATGCTGGGTGCCGTTATAGTCAGATGTGAACAACAACCAAGTGCCTCATGGCTAGGGGGTTTCATTTTAGACATGACGGCACTACAACATACTTTGTGGACTAACGGGGGATCCACAGAGGGACGAGGGCTCATCTGGAGGCAGGCTGGGCTGGTGAAGGATAGACACGTGTGACAGGAAAGCAGCAAGGGCCTGCTGGGGTCAGAGGGTGGAAAAGCTGGAGGTGGGGTCAGTAAGCCCATGAAGGCTGAGAGGGGCCCAGAGAAACTACAAAGCTAGCTGTGGAGGAAGGGCCAACCCTGAGTCTGATGCTTTGCATGCCAATGTGCAAGGTAAACACAAACCCAGAATGGAGAGCAACGGTGTCTGGGGCCGGGGCAAATAGCCCTGGGGTGCCCCACTTGCCGAGTACCCACAGCAGCCTGGGTTCGAAGCCTGGGAGTGAGGAAGAGGGATCGGAGCAGGCAGGGGAAGGCCCTCTAAGATCCATGTGCCCTTGCTTCCCACAGGCAGGGCTTTCTTCATCCACGTGAAGTTTGTGTGGAATATCCATTAGGATTCTCTTCATATAGCATAGCTAATGTTCTCGGGAAGCCACACGCTGACAAGTCCGTTCTTCTCCAACCGGCTTGTAGTACCCCGGGTACCTCACATACCCGGTGTCTTCGTGTGCGTGGACCGATGGTCTCTGTGCCCTCTATCACGTGCCATGGCATTTTATTTAGGTATTAGAAGTACGTATGGCACTACCAATGTATTTTGAAGCCCTCGCTGTCGTCACCGCTAGAGACCAAGAGTGTCAAACATGACTATCTGTATATCAAAAGTGTCTTGGCCAACTGCAGCACATTTCAATGCGTTTAAGCTACCATCTCCTCGCAGGATGGTGCAAAGGAAGGCTCCTTGGCGACGCTGGGATTGGATTGTGTGATGACACTCCTTTAGAGTAGTGAATGATAGACCCGTGCTTAATGTCTGACTCTCCTCTCAGTAAGATTCTTAACATTTAATGTTTTATGCATAAACCTCTACAAAATATTAAAGGTGGATCCTATAATTTCCTGCATGTATACAATGTACCCTGGTTACCATCCTCATGCCTCCTGCCACTCCCCACTGGGAATTCTTCACCCCAACCCCATCCAGGCATGTGCACCCCCTTCCTCCTTCCTGACTTCTGGTTTCCCTTTAAAAGTAATACTCTAGTCTCTTTAGTATTGCCCAGATGGGTATGGAAGCAGCCACCTGAACCTGTGCAATCTGCCACTTGTGGCACACCTGAAGAAAATGACTGAACCTCCCCGTGACATCCCTCAACTACAATGTAGCGTTTCTGCAAGGGGAATGGCCTCTTGAGCCTCTCGCCCAACCCGAGCTGGAAGGGGCCGGCATCATCTCCTGTGGGGCTTGTCACAGATACGGTGAGTTCTCCAGTGCAGTGGGCAAATGCCATGTGAAGACGACACCATGCCACAGTATTCTTCCAGATCCTACACTTGTTACATTCTTTCTGCCTCCTCTTCTGGAATGTTGCCTGAGCCTTGGGGGTGGGGCAGGGCGGGATACACAAATCCCTTTTGGGAATGACAGCCCCAGGGTCACTGATTCTCAGAGGTTTGAACAGGGTGGGGTCTCTGCATTCACCCCTGCCCACTGCAAAAAGCTGCTTCTTCAGCCAAGCCCGAGAACAGCAGAAATCCGTGGGAGTCTAGAGCCTTGCTGGCACCGCTGCTTTGACAGGAAAAGTGAAGCTCTGAGGTTCAGCTGGCTCCAACAGGTACCGCTGGGTGCTGTGTCAGGGAGCAGCAGATGAGAACCCCAGTCTCTGCAGCCCACAGCGTGCAGCCGATGAGAACCCCACATGGTCTGTCGTGTTCTGGCATGTGGAGAAGCAGGGGTTGTAAATCCTATTCTGGAGTTGTTCCCCAGGTACTCTATGTCCCACCAGGACAGCGTCTCGTCCTACAGAGTGTGCGAGGGGCAGCATTTTCCTCCCACTTATGCCTGCTCTCACACAGGAAGCTTTACTGGTTCAAGTGGTGCTGATTTGAAAGCTCTCACAGCAGGGCTCTCATTCTCAGCTCTCCTGCTTGCCTCCTGACAGAGATTGTCTCCTGTTTGGGGGAAATAAGGCCTTCCAACTTCCACTTCATAAGATACATACATACATACAAACATACAGAGAGAGAGACAGACAGAGACAGAGACAGAGACAGAGACAGAGACAGAGACAGAGAGAGTGTGTTTTCAGAAGGAAGCTTGAGGACAATTCTATTAGGATCTGGGAGGAAAACAACAGGGCCTGCATTACACGCCAGCTTTGTCAGAAGCAGGGCATAGGGGAAAGCCACACCAAACATGTGTACCACATGGGGGCCTTGAGGCCAGCAGGAGGGAGAGATGGGCTAGGCAGCTGAGGGTACCATGACCTCAAGAAGAGTGGACGGTGTCTTTCCGTGGTAAATGCTGAAAGTGTTTTAGGCCCATTGCAGGCCTCACATTTGCGCAAGACCAGAAATGCCAGGGGTGTCCACACCAAAAAATGGCTCTGGTTCTGACATGGCCTGAGACTGTGGAACAGGGCTTCTGGCTCTTTCTCTTCACTTTCCCCTCCAGAAGTACCATCTGAAGGAAACCGCAGTGGCTGAAACTACGAGGCACCTGGACACCAGCAATAGACCTGGACTTACCAGATCATCCCCTGACATGGCCCTCCTCCATCCAATTAATCCAAATCAACTCCAAGGCAAGGAGGCTCAGTGCTGTCACACTACCAGACACCCAGCTGCTATACAGAAGCTCTTCCTAAATCCTCTTTGTTTCAAACCCTGCCTCACTCTGTTCAGAGCGAGCAGCGTTATCTCAAACAAACAGACAGCAACAACAAAGGCTAACAAATCCCAGAGAGCACTCATACTTCCTGAGTCTTCCCACATGCCTTTGTGTCGAGAAAACCATCACAGCAGGCTGTGAATTCAAGTTCCCACCTGCAGGATGAGGTACCCTTACCCGTGTACATCAGGGATAATGGGTATGTTTGGGGATACTGCTATATTGGCCTCAGTGTGTTTCTAGCGCAGATTAGGTTCTCACGCATCCCATTCACCAAAAGCCCTGCCTACCTGAGAGAACAGATTTTGCTTGTGTGAACTTTTGGGCAACAATGAGATTATTGGTTTTCCTAACAATCTGGGGTGGGAGGGGGAGATTACATCCTGTATTTCAAACCTGTCCAGGAGAGTGTCTAGTTCTCCTCTCTCTGGAGAGACAGGTCCCTTACCACGTTGTGTGGCCCGAGGGGCTCAGGTCAACTATACCCTTCTGTATCAGTAAGGACCCC